TATATATACTTGTATATATATATATATATATACTTGTATATATATATGTGTGTGTGTGTGTTTATGTATATGTACATATATATAAATATAATATATATGTGTATGTGTGTTTATGTATATGTATAGTATATATATATGTGTGTGTGTGTGTTTATGTATGTATACGTGTGTTTATATTTATATATATAAAAGGGCTTTGATTCAATTAGTTTAATTCCACTTGTGAATGCGGGTGTTGTGTATATGCTGCTTGTTTTTTTAGCATTCAATTTACAAGATATGTCGTTGGAAAACTATTCCCAATAGTAGAAACGAAGATTAATTGATTGGTAGATTTTTAACTTAATTAGACTTTTCATTTGCTCTTCTGCTCACGTCGTAGGATTTGGGATTTAAAAAAGCGCCGGGCCAGAATCCGGCCGATTTCTTAGGTAATAGGCAAGACTTCTGAAGTAGTTCCGGCTCATACTTAATAGTGTTTCTACATACGATTCAGTAGTTGTGCGGATAGGGGATGGTGTATTGTAATGTATCAATACAGTCATATATTTATATATATATTATTGTATATTATATATATATATATCATATATTATATACATATATCTATTTATATATATATAAATATCTATTTATATATATATATATGTGTATATATATATATATATATGTTTAGATGTATGCAAGTATATATATATATCTACGTGTGTGTGTGTGTGTGTGTGAATATATATATGTATATATATGTCTGGATATTTTTAGAATATTTATACAAAAGTATGTCGAATTATGAATATGCTAGTGGATTGTCAAACGCGCGTCGTGTATATATATTTTTAATTAACCCTTATATTCGGTTTCTACATTCCAATTACACATGATCAATTCAGTGTCGGTGACATCAGGGCACAAACCAACGGACGGGGCTAATGAGAGTAAAACATGGCCGGATGTTGATCCCAATTACTTTGCGCAAGAGTATATGAACTCACAATTGGCAACTGACCGCAAAGAATCCACTTTGTATGTTTTGAGAATGGTCGAATAGTATATATATGTCGATAAATGCGAATACAATTATGTGTGCTTGTCTGTTTCTATCTACTTGTAGGTCTTTACATGGAGTATACATACTTGTTTTCTATATGTGTATTTATTTGCATATAAATGTATATAGTAACAAATATATGTTATAAATTATATTATATATATGTATATATACATGTATATGTATATCAATGTATTTATGCATATATCCACTTGGTTTAATATCATCGCGGTGGATTTCTAACCACTACTCGACAGGGAATGTTAAAACTATGTTTGACCAACTGATGATAGACGTAGACTACGTGCCCAGGGCTACTGAAACATATACCGAGCTACCAAATGACCAAGTATTAACAATCGCTACAATAAAATTATTTCTATTTGTTCATATTCGGTCAATGAAGGGCGCATCGGAGTGATATTTCTGGGCAAGTGGATACGAAAGACAAGAAGGAACTATATGCGAATGGTATGCACTGATGTAGTTTAATATATATATGTATATGTACATGTATATATATATGTGTGTGTGTGTGTGTGGGCATAAGTATCTACAAATCCAAATACACAGTTCAATATGTTTATACATTTACATATACAAGTAAAAATACACATAGTTATATATATACAAATTCGTATACATATACATTTACATATATATTTATATATACATATACATTTACATATATATATATATATTGCTATAGATATGTATATATGCGTATACAAATACTTTTATATACTTATATACATAATTTTATCTACATATATTATATATTTATATAACATATTGAATATATGTGTGTACATTTAAAAGTGTTTGTGAATTACGTCTGTATGCATTTCTATATATATATATATATAGAAATACATACACACGTAATTCACAATCACATTTAATATATATATATATAGAAATGCATACACACGTAATTCACAATCACATTTAATATATATATATATAGAAATGCATATACACGTAATTCACAACCACATTTAATATACATATATATTAAGAGTCCCTTTCTTGATATTATTTTTTTACCCCATACAAATAACCCAAAAAGCAATTCCCATACGGACTGCACGTTTAACCTGTCATCAAACAGTTACCTGGTAGACAAGTTAAGTTCAGGCATTTTGAACATTTCTCTCGTTGGAAGTAATACCGTAGCTATCTTGGTTAAAAAGTTGGCCTAACTGTGAAATTAGAACCTGATCACCATTTTCAAAGTGATTTGCGGAGTAAATGAAAGGTTACCAAAGATTCCCAAATTGAAGCCAATTCGAAGTCACATACTGTACTAACTACTTCAAGGTACCGACGTGCTTGTACTATTCTCCTCTTTACTCTGGTAGTAAATATGACCGTGTGCAATCTGATACTGGATTGATTCACCACTTTTCATGGGAGAGAGAATAGGTGAAATTTCAAGAAATGGGCTTTTAAAATTAACACACGTATAGATATATATATATATATATATATATAATATATATCTATTTAATACATATATATATATAGAATATATATAAATGTGTGTGTGTGAATATGTATATGTATATATCGATGTGTATATTTATGTATGTGTGTGCGTGTTTCGTGTATAGATATCTGATACCTTGTTATTAATTCATAGGGTTTGTCTACAACGTTGTTGTACTCATCGAGCGTAACTGGTGCGCTAGTAAACGGGATAAGTCATTCTTTTTCAAGCGAGTATTTAGCATAGTCATCGTAGCCACAGCCTTCATGCTGGCTTATCTAATGCCTGGGTTTGATGATGCCGCAATCCGTGGAAAACAGGTAACAATTTTAGTCTTATACGCGTACTTTTATGTATACATGGGTATATATATATATATACATGCATATATATATATATATATATGACTATATCTATATCTGTATACATATATATATATCTATATATATATATGTGTGTGTGTGTGTATGTGTGTTACATATATATATATATATTACATCTGTATATATATATGTATAAATATATAAGTATATATACATATTTGTGTATATATATATGTGTGTGTGTATGTATATATATATATTATGTGTATATACATATATATATGTATACAATATGGATGTCTGTATCTCTGTCCATATTCATGTATGTGTGTTCATTTTTGCGTGTATGAAACGTGTGCGTAGGTTTGTATGCATATATGCATATACATACTCAATATATATATGTGCATATATTATATAACTATAACTATAGATAGATAGATAGATAGATCATATATATATATATCCATTTTTATATAAATATATGTGTGTATGTATATGTACATATATATATGTGTATATTTATGTATGTATATGCATATATGTATATATATATATATATCGATCAACTTTGTTTATATCATTCATGATCTTGTCCGATTAACCTTGTTTTATTTTGCCCTGCAGTCTGTATTGATGCTGTCCATGATTATCTTCCTGTTCACGGCCAACGGCCAAGTGGACCCAACCGTCGAACGGCGTAACTACATGGCACGAGAGGTGAATGCTGGCAGCTACTCCGTCTCAGCTCACTTTTGGTCGACGGTTTTATTTGAAGTGCCTTGGACCTTCTTCAAGGTGAGTAGTCCTGATTATAATATATATATACTTATATATATGTATATCTTACATATATATCTAAATACTATATCTATATATATATATATATATCTGTATATATATATTATATATTATGTATTATATATATATATATATATACATATGTGTGTGTATATGTATGCATGTATGTTTGTATATATATATGTCTGTATGTATGTATGTTTATATATATATATGTATGTATATATAAATTTATATGTTTGTGTGTATATATATATTTGTTTGTTTATTAGTACTTGTTTGTATGCATGTATATATATTTATAAAAATTTATATCTATATATATATGTATGTATGTATGTACATATATATATGTGTGTGTATGTATATGTGTGTGTGTATGTGTATGTATAAATATGTATATATATATATATATATAGAGGATGGATTTACGCTTTCGGTACGATCTTGCCACGGTCAGTTAATGTATATTTACAGGGTATTTGCTAGTCATTGAACATTTGCAAGTCAAAAATACATATTTTCCAATTATGAGCGATTTACTATGAAATAACCATGTAAACTTATCCTAATTTCTCCCACTTTATTTCGCTCTAGGTACTGCTGTATTCCCTGATTGTGTATTTTGCGGTCCAATTGCAATACACTTTCGTCAACTTCATTTATTACTTTTTGGTGCTCTTTATCTTGGCGGAGATTGGGCTGAATCTCATGTGGTTCTTCTCATTCGTGGCGGCCACCGCTACTGAGGCGAGCATGTACATCATCACCATCCCATTCGTATGTTGTGAATTAATTTGTATATGTATTTAGATGTATTTGTTTACCCTATGCGTTCAACGTATAGTATTTTGATCTGTAAAATTTGCATGAACTATGTCTATCAATGAGATAGAATTGTGCGATAGTCGGTTGCGATGGTATCTTAGGTTATAGTAGTGTAGCCGTCGATAATTTCATTACTACAGGTATAGTCATGTCTGTGTTTGTACATATGTATATTAATATATATATGTGTGTGTGTAGGTGTATGTATATGAAGGCATATCTGTATATATATATATTCATGTGTATATATACAAAGATTTGTGTATATACGTATATATATATGTGTGTGTGTGTTTATGTGTAGGTTTATATATATATAAATATGTGTGTGATGGGTGGGTGTCTGTGCCTCTGTCTGTGTCTGTGTGTGTTTGATATATATATATATGTGTGTGTGTGTGCATGTATTAGTATATTGTTTTTTCATTGTTCGTTCCGGGTTGTTCGTGTCTAATCTCCGATTGTTTTTGTCTGTTTGATATGAACGTGTCCAGGCTATAATTCTTTAAAGTGTTTTCTGTGGTTCATTCTTACGCCTCGACACGCAATTGTTTGCCTCTCATTCGGGCTTGCTTTTGTTCTTTTTCCGTTGGTTGGGTGCAGTGTATTATGGTTTGTACGCTTTATCATGAGTCTTCATGTCTTGTGTGGTATTGTTACAGTTGAAAGACCCTTAACGCGTTCCTCTATTTCTAAGCTTCGAAAGAATTCGTACGGCTGGACTTGTAGTTGTTTGCGCTATATTTAGACGTCCTCCGGTCGTATCTTCGATGGTTTGGCACGGTTTGATACAGTTTCGCTTACTTCGCCTCATCTGTACCCCCTCATATGCAGTTGTTTATACTGTACTCGGGCTTCTTCATCCAGTATCCGGACATCCCTGTGTACTGGATCTGGGCCTACTACATATCACATGTCAACTATTCAATGGCCGGGCTGCTGCTCAATGAATTCAAAGGTAAATTTTGAATGCGTTCACTGATGGATGGCAATCGTTGAATGACTCAACGTATTGAAGGGTGAACTTTCTATCGCGTCGCTTTCAACGTGTATGCACGTGTATATATCGTCGTTTGCGGATATATGTGCGAGTGGCAAGCAGAATGCTAGAGCTTCCCAACGGACACCTTGTCTGTTTACTGAACACTGATCGTTTATAGGATAGTAGTTCC